AATGTCTCGTCGAAATGCTGCTCCAATTGAGGATCTTCGTGGTACGACGACATTTCATCGTCGCTGCTCAAAGCCCTCCGAGCCCAGTCGTTTATGTCGCTGTAGGTCGGCTTGACTAGACCGAATTTATCTTGAGACATTATCCTGAGATTGCCTGCAGAAACACTCCCAGTGCTGCTCTTCCGTCTTCTGTTCGGAGGTCGGGGCTTGCCATAGCTTCCACTCGTATCGACGAGTTCGTATCCGGCATCGTCCACTGGGACCTTACGTATCGTTCGAGACCTTTCTAGCGCCGTCATGGTGCTAGTGCTGCCCATTGTTTCATTTAATTCGGCATCATATAGAAGGTCTCGGCTTCCGGCGGTGGAAGCTATTCTCTCATCATTAGAACGCGTAAGCTCTGAATGCGCTGAGCGCACCGCCGGCTCTGAAGTGTCATCTACTCCCCGTGAGGCTCGCCGTTGAGATTCCGATTCTTTGCTCGCGCTGCCGCCACCCGTAGCTGTCGAGTCGTTTTTGTTTTTCTCCAGCTCGCTGCCAACCTCAGGAGAGTCGGCCGAGGCCAACTCCAACCGAATCGGCCTTTCTTGTGGAATGGCCGTTTGAATTGGAAATTCTCGACCTCGCTCGTCGGCACGAGAGTCTGTGGCTCGGGACGGTGTTCCTTTTTCGGATCCTGAGGCTTCCCTCATAGAATCGGCTCCGAGTTCTATTTTCGAAGGTGTAGGTGTCAAGGCTCCGGGATCTTCGGCGGCTCCCGATTTCTTCCCTTCGGAGGGAGAGGCTTCGCCAGGAATTCCGAGTGCGGCCCCAGGATATCTCCTAGAGGTATAATCCGTCACACCGGTCCCGTCTCTTCGACGAGCGACTTTCGGCGTAAGGTGCTGATCGTCTGCGGCGTCGATCGCGTTCTGGAATTCCTCGACGCCTAAGGTGGGATCGTATTCAATGCCCTCGATCGCTTTTTGTAAGAGCTCCTGATTTCTCTTGATCTTCGACCGCTGTCGTTCGTCGGCACCAGAATTCGAACTTCGTCTACTGGAGCTCTTGGAGCTCTGCACTGGGGTCTCTTCGATATCGATGATTTTCCCACCGGGTTTGAAGGTCACGGTGAACGATGACGATATCTCTTCATCCGAGTACCCGTCTGAATGCGATTCGGGGTCCCCTGCGCCGGCATCGATTTCCGCATCGACAGCTGTCATCGGAGCTTCAGTGCCCTCACGCCCTGGAACTTGATCAGCCCTCATTCCCGATCCAGCCGTCTCGCTTTCCGGAGCTTGAGACTCCGAACTCTCGATTTTTCGGACGGTCTCTTCAGGGGCCCCGTCCTTTCCCAGTGGTCCTCGACCCACGCTGCTCGAGCGGGATCTTTTCGGCGGGGTGGGTCGAGCTGCACTCAGGAGATCCTCGCCCAGCCCTCCACCCAAGCGCGACCTAGACCGTGACCGCCGAGGCGGTGACGGAGGAGACATCGTATCCCGTTCGAGATCGATCCGTTTATTCGATCGGTCCAGGGAGCCGGACGCTCGGAGGGGAATCTGCCTGCCACGAGTGCGCTTCGGTGGCTTCACGAAATAACCACTCTGACTCCATTCTTCGGCGCTTTCGGCAGACGCCGTCCTTATGATCGTTGGCTTCCCTAATCTTGACCTCGTCTTGCCCACTGGATCGGCATCCTGACTCAATGAAAGACTCGGGGACTCGATCAATTCATAGCTAGGCACTCGATCGTCGAAGAAGACGTCGCGTGAATGTTCGACACCTTCGGTGCTCGATGACGCAGCCTCTCTCCAACTTTTCCGTCTCTGATGGTCGGTCGTCGCTTCGAGCTCCCGCAGAAATCGATCTTTCGAAGTCTCGCGGAGAGTTGCCTGGGCTTGTTTCCGTCGTCGTTTCTCATGCTTTTGCGGGTAAGTTGAAGTCCTCGAATCGTCGGCGGATGGCACCTCGCCGTACGAATCGCTGTCGACCACAGCAGCGCTAAACGCGGAAGTAATCTTGGTCGCTGGCGCATCGGCGAACTTCTGCTTATACGAAGCGCGCCCTTTAGGAAGAGGAGCCGTGTCGTGGATACTACGCCTCGGAGACTGATCGCGACGACTCCTCCTGGTTATCGTTTCCGAGTTATGACTTGGGTCCGTGCCCTGGAGTTTCCGCCCTGGGTAGCGACCAAAAGCTCCGCCGTATATCGGATCCCGATCCCTCCCTCCATACCGCTCAGATTCGTAGATTTTTTCACCGGTTTTCATGTTGAGCTCGGCTCGCCAAGCCTTCAGGGGTGTCTTGGGACGGTCAGCGAGCGAATCAATCGTCGTTGAGACCTTGATGCCTGCGTCTTCGAACGGAACGATTCGTTGCTGTTTCGCTTTCTCCTCGAGCTCCGACGTGTCCAGATCTTCGAAAAAGCCTCGGCTCGTTTTAATGCCTTCGTCCTTGGCCGGCGACCGGCTCCGCTCAGCCAAGGAACGCTGCGGTATGAATAACATCTCGCTATCGGGGTGAGACTCATCGGATTTTTGAGATTCCAAGCGAGGGATTCGTGGTATTCCCAGATTGACAACTTCGTCGGTCGGCGTCAGCGCTCTCGTTTTCGTCTGACCGTCGATGGATCGGCGAGGCTCCAAAGGATCACTCAATTCGTCATAGAACGATTTCCTTCTCTCCATAGCGGCTTGCGGAGATTCCAGTTCGGCGGCCTCGACTAAATCGAATACTTCTCGTGATCGCTTCAAATCAAAAGCTTCCTCGCCCGACTCCTCCCGCCTCTCTCTCAACGATGGACGTCCATCGACACCCAGATATCCCGCCGTCGCAGCCATACGATCGATTCTGTCCTGCATCATCGAGGAGTAAAAAGACGCCGGGATCGAGGAGTCGTCGATCGACTCGTCGATGTCGTGTATCGAGACAAATTCGTCTTCTTCGCCACTGTCCTCGAAGCACAAATCGAAGTGTTTATCAAATTCTTCGAGGATCCGCTGATCCTCGGACCGTTGTTTCTTGATCCTTCGAATTTTACCGTATGTTGAAATCTCCTCCATGGCTTCCGTGTCGAAATATGTCGGGTCGGGGGTATGGGCTGTGAGGAGTGTCTCCAGCTTCTCCATGGTAGAATCCCGTCTGACCGTCGAGAATTTCGACCGTAATGTTGGAGCCTCGGGACTCGGGGTGCGATCATCTTCGAGCTCAGCCGCTGTATAGCGAGTCTCCTCCCCTGACTGCTGGAATGACTGCTTCCTCCTCCTCGGGGTCTGTAGGGATGGGCTGACCTCCCGTGAGGGGCTTTCGGTACCGGGATCGAGTTCGAAGCGCTTCTGAAATATCGGATCTTCGTCGTCCCGAAAATCGTATGCGCTCCTTCCGACGGACTGTTCTTGCCTCGAATCGAGCGTGGCGGAAATCAGTCTGATGATATCGTCCGCTTCCCGCGACACCCTGTCGATGTGTTCGTCCCGGAGCTCGTCGGTGCCAAAATCGAACGATTGACGATTCTCGAGCTCGAGTGAGTTATGTGAAACACTTAGGTCGGGGGGACTGCCGGGCAGCATTTGGAATTCATCATCGTCGTCGCCAGTTGACACCGAAGAGATAGTTCTCCCGAAATATTGGAATGAGCCTTGGAGTGCTGAGCTTCCTCCGGCGAAGGGCTGAACGCTATCGTTGATTTCGATGCTCGGGACCGGGCAATCAATGAAGCCCTGGGAGAGTCGGTGCGACGATTCGGTGCTCAGCTGCTCGGTGGACTCGGCCTTTTTGCGTTCCTCCGATCGAGTCAGACTGATTTCTCGCTGACGTTTCCTATCCGGCGGCTTCCGGCGCGGGGCCTCGCTGAGGTATGTGTCGGTATAACCTCCCGAAGAGTAAAATTCACCTTGTCGACTGCGTCTCTGGGTGCTCGCTCGAATTTCACTGGAGTCTTCGGAAGGAATCTGCGCAGGTGATGCAGAGGTGTAGTCGCTCAACGCCTCCAGCTTGAGTCGGAGCTCCGACATCTCATCCCGCTGGTTGTCAACGGGTGCTGCAGCTCGATCTTCTGCGTTGAGGAATTCCTCGGGATCTGACTCCAGCGAATGGAAACTCGCTGGACTGTCTTCTCTGTCAGACATGGTTGTCCAGTCATTCCACTGAGTGAGAAACACACTCAAAAGCACACGCACATCACCAGCTAGCAACACAAGGCATCGACTCCCGAAAGTGAGACTCTCGAACAGTGTAGTACTAGGACAGGGCAAAAATAGCTCTCCAGCTAGCGTGGTTCGTTGTTGTTGTCGTCGTCGTCGCCGCCGTTGTTGTTGATGCTGTGACCATCGTTCGCTTCTTTCTCGTTCTAGCAATGCGAGCCTGGTCTCTCTGGCAGGGTCCCCGTCCGTCGCATACTCACTGATCAAAAGGCCGAGCCCACAGGCAGTAGCGAGGACCGAGTCACAGTCAGACCACATGATTATCACCTCACAACGGTCTATCGATTCCCGCGGTCTGATCAGAATTCCCACAAGACTCTTCCGGGAGCCATAAAATGTTATTGGTCGATCATGGGAATCTCATGAGGAAAAATCCGTCTGCATTTTTCGTTTACCCACTGTACAGGAGCAGGAACCTCGATGTAACGCTCCATGACCCCATCGCATGGCATCCCCCCACTAGAAGGGATAAAATAAGGCTTGCTCTCATGCTGAGGGCCTCGAGGCCCGATAAGAAGCTCCAATTACCCCAGCACCGACTGACGCCCCCTCCCCCCCCCGTTTTCTATTGATCAAAATCGGAGAATCAAACAGAATTTCCCCTCTCCAGCTCCGCTTATGAAGATTGAGAGGGTCGGGGCGCTGATCGGATTCCCTCGTCTGTCTGCTATTATGCAAGCAAGCGCCGCGGCGAGGTTTTGCCTTCAAGTGGCGAGAAACTCGTGGACTCCCGCGGGATCACCCAGTGTCACACGTCATCATCTGAGAAGCCGAAAAGAGCTCTCCTAGGTTCTGCACGGGGAACAAATCACTCACCATGTCGAGATGATTGGGGAAGAACGTCTGCTCCATAAGGGGGAAGTTAGCTTTGCCCAGGCGACGCTGGAGGCTAAGTAGCTGTGCGAACTGAAATGTGAAGCGGACAATTAATTGATGAGATTTCGCTCGTACGCAGAGAAGAAGCGCAAGGTCGATGACCTGTGGAAATTTGTCCGGGCGAATGATGATCTTACCACCCATGGTTTATCCTGGAAGTTGTAGAGCGAATGAATCGAATTGATCGCGGGAACACCTCCGTATCTGAGACCCAGCAATATGGGTCTGTAGTCATGATGAGCGTCCCGTACATGCTGACGGACCAACAGGAAATCGGGGCGGAAAGTTTTCGAAACCTGCGAGAAAACGAAAGCGCCTTTAGGAGCCGGAAACCGAGGTGCGGAACCCAATCTCCGCAGTAATATATCTCGTGGCGCTAATCTCACTTTGTTGCCCTGTCTCAGCGAAGCCATTGATACAGTGGTTCCGTGCTCCGTTGACGAACAAACTTGAAGCTCTTTGAATTCAGCTTGCTCGACGCGTATATCCCAGTCTCCGTGAACCTTACGTCCACGGAAATAGCGCGCCCTGGGGAATTATGCGAATGTAATGATTGAGCTTGCGGGAAAATGTGAAACACATCAAGTGGTATCTATCCGCCTCAATCGAACTAACCAGTCGACCGTCTGATCATCGATGACGAGCAGTGTCAGGTGGCGATCTTTGTTGTACACTGTTCCTTTGAGAGAGCTCGTGAGTGAAACGCCCCTAGACAGAAACGAAGTGACCGATCGGGCAGGCGAAGCGGGGGCAGAGGTAGCTGATGAGCCTCGCAAGCTGACTAGATCTGTGGAGCGGATTTCAATTCCGTAAGAGTGAGTGTAAGATCGACGCTTCCGATTCCCTCGACTTGTTCGGTGGCCACGATCATGTCAAAGAGTCTCTCTTCATGGGGGACGGCCCTCTTCTTGAGGACGGCTCCTCTTGATTGATCCGCGCCGATCGGCTAACCGAAGGGCAGCGAGGCTTAAAGGGCCCCCCAATGAGCCTGATACACTTTCAGCTTCGGAACTTGATGGACAGATGAATTCAGACATTCATCCATAAATCTTGCACAGACCCTGGTGCTCTACCCTCAGTCTTTCGAGCAGCCGGGACTGCGTCAGAGAATCGATTTGGAGATCGTGCGGGGAAAATTCAGTGAGGGGTTCAAGATCCGGAATCCTGAAACCTTTGGCGATCCAGTCCAGCCTTGAGTGCACAATCAGCGGGTCAAGAAAATAATTCGTGGGCAGCCCCCTTATCGACGAGACTTCCAGCGTTCTTCATGCCGGTACTTTCGACCACGCAGTAAGTCCTCACAAATTCGTCAATTGCTCAACTGGGAAGCAGCCAGAGGAGAGAACACTTGCCTTGCTGAGATGGTTGGCCTCCAGTGACCAGCGGGGTGTTGGGGACAGATGGGGCGGCCTGTGTCGGGCCGACCCCATACTGTTCCGCGTTTGCTCCATAGACGGGCTGCTGTATGCCAGCAGCCGCGCCAGGAGCGAAGTCAGGATCGAGATCTCCGCTTAGGTCCGAGGAAGAAAACCTGAGAAGGGAAAGGGTTTTAGCCTCAAGCCATCGATGCCGTACCAAGAAATAATGGGATGCGCCGAGCGAAGTCGCTCATCGTCCCGGTCGCTCACTAATGATGATGGTGAGTGAACTTTCTCGATGGAAGTGTGACCGATAATTGGTAAGGAGGATCCAACTCTACGCCGTCTTATCATCGGAGTTCCGCAATTCTTTTCCAAGACGGCATTCTATCTCACGGACCCAATACATTCACGCGATGCGGCTGCATCACGGTAAGAGAAGAGAAGATGACCTCGACATCTGTTTTGTGTGTGAATGTATTGACTACGGGATGGATCTCGGTTCATACACGTCCGGCCAGCAATTCTTTATAGCAAAAAAAAAATCTCGAAAAGATTCTTTCGAGGGTCTCGTCGGCCCTCAATCGTGCTTTGGTCGAAAGGTTATTCCGGTCGAACTTCCGCCCCCTTCCAGCTGTTCGAGCATCGTTTCCGGTCACTCATGTCGGTCCTTGTCCTGGACGGATCACAAACCAACATGAGGGGTAAGGCTCACGCGGGATTTTTCCGCGGTGGAGAAGGGTATTCAAGAAAGCTCCGTCTCCGATGTGATTGCTCAATCCCGTACTTCGCCATCACGGAGATCGAAATTCGGGAGGAGCCTTCGTTCCCCCCTCTCCCTCTCGAGACGCGAACGCATCTGATTCATCAGCGCTGGTCTATTACATTCAGTATTCCGAGGTAGATTGGGTCCTGGGGAGGTTGACGAGAAGGGAGTTCCGTGTTTGAATCTCACCAATCGGATCCTCTTTTTGAAATTCCACAGAAATGGATTCACCGCTCGTTCCTCATGATGATAGTGGCATATCGGTAGGGGGCGAATTGCACACACTGAACACTGCCGCGAACGAATATATTCGCCACCGGGACCGCGGGGTCTCGACTTCGACGCGAAAGTCTTTTGGAACGGCATCGTTCTTTCAGCAAGCTGGGCCCGGAGGCATAGGTCACTTGTGGGGGAAGACTAGATTCGGGGAGATTCGTGAAGACGAGATTGAAGTTTCGCGAACCGCTTATGCTCGCTAACAAACACTAAATATAGCTCTCGCTTGAGCAGCCAAGCGAGGGCTTCGCAAACAGCTTTCATCGAGCTCCAGATTCCTCGTAGAGGTGGAGACTGCTATCCCGAAAGATCGTGGCCGTGTTCGTCCTTCTCTTAGTTAAAATGCCACATGGGGAATGGGCACGAAAACCTGGAAAGACTTTCGCCCGATTCGCGGACTACAACTTCACGGTCTGATCTATTCTGATGGATTTAGCGGTTCCATTTGATGCGGTGGTCGCGACTTCCGCTGTTGTTGACATGCATATCGACCAGCGAGAGTATTTCTGGATAGAGCTACGTCACGAACGGAGTCCTGATTGGGAGAGGAAGTATAATATATGACGGATGTCTCCACGGACTTTCAGAGGGTTGGCGCGCAAGTCAAAAAAAGTACTAACCTTCTCTTCAAGAAGTTGGTAGTGGAAGTAAAACTCTGTCGGAATGAGAAAGAAATTTTGGCGATTCGGTGGGATCGCTTCCGGAATACAAGCGGACGGCGTCAGTCCGATTCGCTCACGAGCAACGCCAGATCTGGAACGCAAGTCGTCCTCTTAAGATTTCAGATCGATCCGGACTTTAACACAAGGGGAGTGTGAAAACATGCTTCCGGGGGAGGGGGAGGGGGATGGAATTTCCTAGAACTCGGCGAATCCCATGATTTGGCAGCAGTGGAACATGCGATTGAATGAAAGCCCTCGATGAGTTCGCGACGCCTGTCGCTTATCGATCGATGGAAGTTCAGAGCTCCTCGAGACGAGACCAATGCATACGAAGGGGGTCGAACGCTGCTAAATAGGATTGAGGGTTCTTAAGTGGTCTGCGATACACGAGTCGAAAAATAGATTTCCGCCACCGCAACATCTGTAGATGTATCCAATAACGACACCTCAGCGCAGATTCTCGCCACATGGGCCGGAACAAGCGAAAGAATCGCTCCGTCATGGGCGGCGATCGGGCAATTGCTGGGAGGGACGTCTGTTGCGGCATTCGACTCGAGATCTTTTCTCCTAGACTTCGCCTTGCTCCAAACGGAGAGCCGTCGAGGATTCCTCGGTTCCAGCATGACAACATTTTTTTAATGAGGTCGCGAGCCCGTTAAGAATGCTTCCGAGTCTGCTACCGGTCCGAGCTCACCAGCCGAACCGATATTCATTCGCTTGATAAACAGGATCGGCAGGCTCGAATCAATGCCCTATATCACTTCGAGCAAATGGTTTAGCTTGTGGGGGTGATTTGAGAGGACTAACTGTCTAATGGTCCGATCGACCGCTCGTTAAGTGTTCCTCGGAGGGCTCCGTCGAGTTGAGGTCGGAACAACAGGACTCTTCAGGGAATCTGAACGGATTCTGCTGTAATAGCAGGACAGAGCACTTTTCCCTGTGGATATGGTCCTCTCCGAGAGTCGTTCTGGATCGTCCAAGGAGAATCAGACAGAATCCCGCCCATGGCTGGATACCGTTACGGAACTAACTCGTATGACCGCGGATAGATCGTGGCCGGCGGGAAATCAGCAGGAATCCTCTGGAATATATCTGAGACGATGCTGAATCTGAGTCGTCCCCGATTAAGGTTCCTTCCGATTGTATCGGATCAGGCTCTCGAATAGAGTGAAATTCCTAATCAATCACCGAGGCTGCTTGCGATCCCCGAGGAGAACCCCCGCTGTGCGGTTCAGATAATCCGCGAGGAGCTCCAAGCTCGACTCGGTGCATCGTCAGTCGACTCAACAAAGTCCTAATCGCGCCTCCGAACGGGAACATCTCGAAGGGTTCAGACAGGTCTTCCAACTCTGATCAGAACGTTAAAGTGCAGTATTCTTCGGGAGTAGAAAGAATCTTAAAGCGACTCGTCGCGCATCCACCGACGAATCCTCGTGGGTCGAAAATGAGGAACTTCCGGCGCTCTCGCTCTGGAATCGATAGCGACCTAAGTCTTCCCTGTAGTGGGATTTCCCTGGATAACCAACGATATTCGGCCAGCATAGATGAATCCGTCCGGAGCGCTACTCCTGAGCATAGAATCATTCGAATCTCTGGTCGCGAATCCATGAGGACATGAATCCGCAAAGTGGATGTACGCTCACGTGGCGTCGCCGGTATTCCTTTGAATCTCTATGTATAGTCTCCCAAAGCGACTGCAGCCTGGAAATTATCCGATCCAGACAGTGGAATACGGCGACTCGGATGCGGATACTCCCAGTTTTCCACTTACGCCTGTGACTCCGGGGAAGAGGGCACAATCTCGCGCACAGGATGCACTAGTTGCTCGTATGAGAGCTGCGACTCGACTTGTCGCTGTAATCGAATGGGCAAGCTGGGTGCCTTCGATTCGGACTGCTTCCAGGGGTAGCGATCCCGAAGCTGTATGCGATTTTACCCTGAGGTAACGATGATTTGAAAAAGCGTCAGCGGTGGCTCTGACTGCAGAGGACTTCGTGGAGTTCACTGAACCTAGGATACGGTATAACGTGGCTCCCCCTGGAAGCTCTGTGGAGCAGTATGGGGCTTCGAGGGCAGCGCCCTCTCCAGGACCAAGGGGAACTAACGGTAGGCGCGAAACTTGGTCATAGATTCTCCGCTCTTGTAGCGGAAGTACTGTGACGAGTGATGACCGATTGGATTTGATGAGTTGGGGCTCACCGACGGACTTGTTGTGCACTGCTCACCTGGCTCATATGAGTGCAGCGCTGGCGGGTTTCACGTCGGACAGAAGCATGTTTGACCCCTCCCCTGATGCCTTGTGATGCATCTCATCTCGGGTCGTCAATAAAGATTCATTGCAACGTGGAAGACGCCTGTGCCAATTTCCAAGCAAATGTTCTACAGACCGTTCGACAGGAACCGTAGAGCCCTGAGACGGCAGGACGACTCAATGCCTAGAGTTTTGTACTAAGAACGATAGTTTTACATGCGAAAGCCGTCGATCTCCTCCCATGAGGTACCTCGGGCATCGACTGCCGGATTTCGACAAGGAATAATCTCATAAACAATGGAATAGACATGTCGCATCAATCCTTCATCACCGAGTGCTGGGCTCTTCTAAATGACCTGCTCGATAACAGGCACGAGTGGTGCTCTTCTGCGTCGCGTCGACCCCAAGCTCGGAGGTCGGTGGGTTCCCCCGCTCAACGGAAAATTGCTGACTCCATTGCAACGGATTGCTTTTGCTCCATTGGCTATTGGTCGCGATTCAGACGCTGAATCGTGTCTACAATCCACAGTTCCGCCGGAGCTCACACAGGAGTCGGGGGTGGGGGGATCGAGGCAGAGACTCAGAAGCTCTTGCAGGCTCGGCAGTCTCGTTACCAAGTTTCTCGTCCCAGATTACTCTCCGAAATCCATTCTGCTGCCTGCCCTTCCCAATTCCTGCCCTTCCCAAGCCTGGGATCCAGGTTCCTCCTGGGTCTCGGAACCTGCTGGAGCTACGACATGTTTCGCGTAGCCTATGATGATAGCCGCGCAGCGGTCTGATTGCATTGCAAACCTGCCTGAATGCCGCGCCGATCCTGAGCATGATGCATCCAGTAGATCTTACTTACTTAGCTCGGAAGTTCTCGGGCTCGATTTTCGTCCTGGCTCGAGAGTCACCCAACAACTGCGATTGGTATCCTCCCAATGCAAAATTTCTCCCAAAACCCGAATTGATTCAGGGATCCAAAACTCTGGATTCACCGTGAAGCCATGGAAATCTCTCCTCCCTCCACGGCAACAACAATGGTGAGCTTCTCGGAGAACTGAACGCGGACTTTCCGCCCAAGATACGAACTATCACTCCTCACTAATCGGCGGAGGGGGCCGATCGAGACGGGTCCGTGATGGAGCGAGTTCGAATTCGGTCGAAAAATCAAGACTGAAGGCACCGATTTTATTCTAACAGCTTTAACAGTACATTTATTTATTACAATCGTTCTCCTTACATGATGTCTCCATAATTATTGTCGTGAGTGTCTCCATCGTGATCATTGTCGTGAATATTTCGGTGTCTGGTGGCTCTAAGGGCCTTGAGGACTTTATCAAGCCCAAGTGGCCGATTACCCTCGTTCCCCGCAGAAAATGAGCCATCGACGAGCCCTCCAAATGTGCTCTAGTCCTTTGGTTTCACGTCTCCGATCGGATAAGCATCCGGAGAGCTTGTTTCGTCAAAGTTTCAAAGGTGGAGAAGCTTCATCCACGATGCACTGATCCATTCCTACCGAGAGGAGTTCTCCCGTGTTTAGCTGGTGAGCCCAGAATCATTTTACATTTCCCTTCACGGCCGCTCAAGGCTTTGGAATCGGAGCTTTAAGAGTTTTCCCTCAGAGAGTACAACTACGTACATATCTCAAGCATAAAGAACTCACTTCCAGTGCCCCTCCGAGGGACGAATACCTATATGTGGCTAAGAATCGAGACGGAAGTCTTAGCGATGATCCGTATCCTGGCACACCGCGAGAGATTTACTGGGATTGAATTTTTCATTCTGACTCAAAGTACCGGATTCACCGCAATTTGAAGTCCCTCCCAAACTGATGTCCGCTACCTCGCCACGAACAGGTCGAAAACGGGGATAATTGGGAGGAACACCTGGCGTCGGAGTAGAAACTCGACGGCACATCATTATAGGAGAAATATTTTTCCTGTGGCCGCCGCTAAGTTTCGGTCCCAGCGATTCAGGTATTTGAGTCATCCGATGCGTCGATCGTGAATCAGCAACACAAGTAGTCATCATCATTCGTATAGGAAACTCCGTACACAGATAATGGTCACGGAGATCTAGTGTACAATCACCGTTTCTGCGTCAAAACTAGTGCGATTCCTTTCGGACGTCCAGAAAGCTAAGTGTACGTGAGGCGATATTCCTCAATTCACCAAAGGACTATCTCGTCGTCACCCTCCCCGAAAATAAAGCATTTCTTCGATTTCAGCAGAGCCCTGATCATCCTCCTACCTTGTCATCATCATTATAATCAATATTCCGCAAATGGAGGCTCTAACGGAATCCAGACTTACTGAAGAGATTTCGTTCCCCCCTCCCCCAACGGAATAGGAGCTTTCACAAGCCAGTACACCTAGCTAGGTGTACCTACCCCTCGTCTCCTTTCGCAGGAAAATCACATAAACCGAGTTTCACTACAACGTTCTGGATAGGAATCGACGGCGTTGAAATTAGCTAGCGAATTGAGGTGAGGTGGATCTCGATGGCTCTGAACCTGAAGGCATCCCGACTCCGGACGAAGATCTTAAGTAGTACTCCCTAGATTCCACTACGCAAACCCCACTGGAACCTTGCATATAAGTATATATGTTTATCTCACGAAACAGGACTCATCTTCATGAACCCACAGCAGCACAGAGCCAGCTGCTTTGTTTGTACATGGACTCGGCTTGAGAGATGAAGGTTTAAGCTGGGCAGATCAGACGAATTCTCTCGATCCGAAGCGTGACGTCTGCACGGGTGTCCCTCTCTTCCAGATTCAGTCCGGGCTCTCGAAATCCTCTACATTCAAGTGATTTGGAACAGCATCAGCTCTTCTAGGAGCAATGAGATGCCCGTTTGAGCATCGAACTCCTATCGGAGTTGTCACTCCACAATGGAAAGCTGCGCGAATCCCATCAGGGTCCGCTGGTCAGGAACTGGCATAGCTTCAAAATCGGTGGTCTGAAAGCGGAAGTTTTCATTGAGTCTCTCTCCAGACCCGGTCCGCTCAAAGCATCAGAGGGATAAGAGCTCATGATTTCGATATTGTCCTTGAATATAATTGCGGAGAGGTTCGATGACTCACCAGAGGGAAAATTAGAGATTTGACATTAGAGGTACCATCCACAAGCTTTTGTAGGTTCGCAGCCACAATAACCTTATCCTTCCCATCCACGAGCCCTGCACCGACGAGTTCTGCAGCGATTCCGTCTGACGTATCCTTTTTGAAAATGATGAAGTCAGTACATGGTCCGAGTCGAGAGCGCCATCATTGATCGATAATAAGTTCATGAGCTATCTCACCTTTTCTCTTGTGAATTCGAACTTGATATCGTTGAGCTCTTTCCTCCCGTTTCGTATCCTCAAGGCGAGTTCCACAACAGGTTGGTTGGCTACCGGAGAAGCTAAGCCCGATACGGACAAGGCAGCTGTGGAGACTTCAGTTGGTGCAGTACCAGCTGCTGCCAACGAAGGACTTTGCTGTGGGAGCAGAGACACATATTGGTTAATGGCTTCCTTCTCCATTCGGTAAACTGAGAGATATCATATTGGTAGAATTTATCTGTTCGATCTATCATGGACTTCACAGGACCACGAATTCCCGAGAGGTTTTCACTTACAGTTCCATTCGCAGGTCGTGGCGAGGCGGAGATCTCTATGCCGAGAGATGGAGGCCCCGTCGTTCCGGAGTCTGATGATGAAGTGCTCTGGTTAGCACGTGAGATGGCCTCCTGTCGGGCCGCCAACTCCTCGGCAGTTACGCCTCCCCTTCCACGACCGACTCCTGAGCCCACAATTCCAGCTTCAAGTTCTTCCCCACTGCTGCCTCCCTCTCCGTCCGACCACACCCAATCTCCTGTCTCAGTCCTGAAAGGATAGAGCAAACTTCAGTTCCCCTTATCACCAGCTCCGATTCACGGCACTCGGTGTCCAAGCTCGAGCAGAAGCAAGCTTCACCGGTCAAGTCCAGCGGAGGAGCCCTGCTGTCACACCAACGTTCTCAAACGAACTCGGGCACCTCTACATCAGTCGGCTCTCGCTCAGAAGAGAACAAAACCGCGTGCCGCTCAGGAGAAGTTATACCATGAAAAATGATAATTACAGCTTCATACGGTAAGACATTCTCCGAAGCGACAGCAACAGCAGTAGCGGCATCAACAACATCAGCGACAACAACAACGGGAATTGAGCCAAACTCGACGAGCTATCGGGTGTCTCTCCCCCTTCTGAGTGAAGTCAAGATGGAAGAGAATGAGTTGTTTCCAAGGGAGTAGAGCTCTTAGAGGGCCGCGCAGCCCAGACGAGCATCGAATCATTAAGAACGGTACACGAGCTTGGGCGAACACTCTGTTCGCCCTCCCTTCACTCTCGAGCTATGCGCGATCTCTAGTTGTCTCGTCGAGGTTTTTTCGTGTTCTGTCTTCCTATCGTCGTCGAATGCTGCTCAAAATCCGCTTGCTCGCTGGTCCCTCAGACAGACTGTGATCCCCGATTCGGAGAACGCCCTACGAGACTCCAGACACGGGGCACGTGCCCGGATCCTGCCCTCAAAAAAGCTCACCTATGAAGACGTCCAGACGCTCCCGGGTTCCTTTTACTGTGCTTGAGTTTTTGTGCGCGATGTTCGATCGTGGGGGCGCAAGACAGCAACGTTTGCACTAGGTAACGCTTATCTTTGGCTTTCCTGAAGAACGGATGCTTCAACAATTCCGACGCTGTGGGTCTTTTCGATGGATCTTTCTGCAGGCACTCTGAGATCATTTTCCGAATTGTTTTCCCATAGCCCTGGAAGAGAGCAAATTCGAGCGTTGGACGAAAAGGTCTCATGACAACAATAATAATCGATGTGAGCTGGCTCAAGTGGTTATGACGGTTTCGGGTCGAGCTCATCGTCAAAACCAGATGAGTCTGCGTGACCGTGCGGGCGAGATTCAGGAAGCGATAGAGCACCATGTCGTGATTGTTTCTTCTTTCGACTCACCTTGAATTGATCTTTATCATCGCCCACGCATTCTAGTGTGGGAGGGTCATTCTGAAGTGTGAGCATGAGTACCTTCATTGGAGGGTACTTGTGGTATGGCGCTGTCCCTGTTATCAGCTCCATGGCAGTGATTCCTGCAGAGAAACGACGAATCGTACTTCGCCTCGGACCGCTTCCGCAGGGCTGCCGGAGCCGGCAGCGTACTTGAGTCGATCGGGAAAAAATCGAAGACTCACCGAAGCTCCATATGTCGGCTTTGAAATCGTAGCCTGTGACCTGTTCCATGACCTCGGGAGCCATCCAACAGGGCGTTCCGACGAATGTGTGACGGGACTTCTGTCTCGATAGATCCCCACCGGTGGCGAGCCATGAACTGACTCCGAAATCTAATGCGAATAGACCGATTGTCAGGGGAAACTCAGACTAAATTAGGATTCTGTCTGATGATTGAAAATTGATCGCGATTCTGCAACGAACCTGCGATCTGGACAGTGCCGTCTTCGCCTAACAGGATATTGCCGGCTTTTATGTCTCGGTGTATTTGTCCGTTGTTGTGGAAATATTCGAGTCCTTTCAGGACTTCTCGGAGGACCGTCGCTATGGTCGCTTCGTCGAAAACCCCTGTTCGGCAGTCTTCTGTCTTGACTCTATGCTGATGGAGGGAATCGAGTATTCAGATATCGCCGTCACAAAGAGGCCCTCACCAAAGTATCACCAAAGTAAGTAAGTGTTCCATCAGCAATGAAATTTCGCGAACCTTTATGATGTCCAACAAGCTGCCACCAGCCAAGAGTCTGATCACCAGCCATAGCTCATCCTTGACCACGAACGACGTGTAGTACGACACCACGTTTTCGTGGTTGCAAGCTCGCATGGCCTGGATCTCTTTCTGGAATATTGCGAACGATGCCAGGTTAAGGCGAATCCTACATCGGGCGTCGTGCGATGGTAAGAATAGATGGAGACGGAGGCAACCGCGAGAGTCGAGCTTGTACATAATGACGGTCACTCACACAGAGCGCCGTTCCGGCAGATACAAGGACTCAGGGCATGGCCCATCGATTATCATCGCTTCGGAATAGAATTATCATTCCGACAGCACGTCCCCCTCGATGCAATCGAATCGCACGTTCTCGCTCTGGAGCGAGTCGTATTTGAGCGTGGTATAATTTTCACGACACTATTCGCCCCGAGAATGAATGTCGTAAGTACCCTCTCGAGGAAGATGATCGAAGTTTGGCAAAGTGTCAACAGCGTGATTTTCGTCGTGTGTGGGATTCAGACAGTCGGATTCGGTGGCACTCGAGACCGAAACACGACAAAATTAGGGGGCATCTCTTGATTCGGTAGCCGGATAGGGCGGACTACTCACCAGAAGTTCGTCCATGGACGTATTCCATTTCTCGAGATTGATTCGTTTTATGGCACAACGCTCTTTCCGAGGAAGACACAGGGCAGCGTGAACGATGGCCGTCGCACCGACACCTGGAATTTCGACGAAGAATTTATACGACGTTATTATACCGAATGGTATGATCATTTCTCCCAAGCGAGATCACGCAGAATAGCTTGGGACCTCTCGCATCCGAGCGAGATATTCAGAGAACTCACAGCTCTCCGGGAGGCGAGATATCACCCCAGCCCGGGCTCCATGAGTGTGGACGTATCCGACGTAATGCCTCGATTTCGAGAGGGATCGTCGACAAAAGGAGAGCGTACTCTGATTGTCTCCCTACCTAAAGCATTTACTCGACTCGCAGCCACTCAATCGTATATCGCGTCGCTTGATTAGAGAAACCGCCGTGATTGCGAACCCCAAGCGTGATACTGGATATAAGAAGGGTCGAGCGGGATCTTGATCGTAGATTTTGCGGCTGCTTCTCTTCAGAGCGAAGAACGCCAAGAGAGTACAATTGATTCTTTACTGGGACTCAAATCCAGCGGCTCGGCTGAGCAGCAACGCAGGAGACGTCAATCTTCTCAGAGGCGAGAGTCGCCATGTTTCGGAGAAGTGAAACCGTCGATTAGAATCCTAATCAGCGAGCTCATGAATTTGCGTTATTCGTGACTCATTCCCGAGCACTTGAGTCGGATTATGAGCACCTTCCGAAGAATGACAGATAGGCAGGCGAATGACCATGTACACGGGGCGCAGTGGACTGCCTGCTCGCCACTCTGAGCAACGAATCGTCGTGGTTCAGACGATGGACGCGGCATTCTCTACTTGAGTTCAATCTCTAGCTTCCCATGGCGGGTCGCGTCACCCAAAGAAGAGAGTTGAATGAATGTTGTCCAGTTGCCTGTAATGTCGCCGTTCACGCTCTAAGCTTTCGCTAACAGGTCAAAGCGCGGCGCAGTAAATAAGTCCCTCCGCTAGTCATGAGTTCCGAAAACTGCATAGATTCGGGTAATCATTGCGATCGGCAGGGAGCATTCGAGTGGCCGAGGAGCTCCCACGCCGGGGTCGGGAGCGCTATGCGAATCCGTATATTCCTCTAGATTCTAGTGCAAAGCGACCGGCACCAGTGTAGTGAAAACCGTCGATGAGGACCCGGTACTTCGCGCCGCATAGCAGTCTGTTGGACAGCTCTTTTCCATGAACAGAGCTTCAACCCCCGGGGAAACCTCAGGCGCAGTCGCCTTCAGCCACCGCGGATAAATGTGAAAAGCGCGCGCTCGGTCAAGATGCGCGTGGTTTCCTTCTCTACGGGTCAAGCGGGGGTATGACCGGCTGGTTACCGTCACAGTGTCCCCGGAATCGATGTAGGACTGCGTTCTGAAGCAGACAGAATAAATTTCCCCTTCCATGGTTCTCCGAGGTCCCAGAAGAGAACCAATGAGCCCTGACTGACTACTCGGGAAAGAGGAAGCTCAGGAAAATTCGAAAACTCGCGATGCATTCGCGATCCGGGAGGAAAACCGGCGACTTTTAGTCGGCGTGTCGATCCAGCGCGGAAAAGAGCCTTCGGAACGAAGATCTCACAACAATACGTGTAGTGTTCTATGATCCACGAAAAAAATATCGCACACCGAAAAAAGTTGGCGGTCAGATCCATTCGATGGGAGTCCACAAAAGCTCATGAGGGGAGAAATCACGGTCGAACCGCCGATTCTCCTGTGATTCGTTGTTCGGGCTTTATGTAGTTGTTGTCGTCGTCGTTGACGGATCTAGCTATGGAACACGGAGGCGGATACCGCCAGAAAACGTTCTCGAGCACTCACCGATCACTTCGCCGAGTTCGTAGTCATCTTTCGAGGATGGCCACTTGAGTTGGTGGCCAGCTTTATCCTTGTCGTTTGTCTCAGACATTTTCGCACCAGCCCCTCCGCCACTAGCCGCACCAATAACAGCACCACTGCTGGTGGTGTTACTGCTACAATTGCTGCTCGGGTCGTCTGCTTCAGTCGTGAGATTCCCTCCTCCTGCCGCTGCGACTGATGACAGCGAGCTCGAGGCGCCCGCGCCCGTTCCCACCGCAGCTCTCGCAGACGATTGTAACGACGACGACGAAGAAGCGGCCAGGCTCGCAGACGACAGTCCATTCTGTTGGTTGCTGCTGTTGTTGCCGGATTTCATGAATTTCACATGCGAATTCAGGAGAGCAGCAGTGGCTGAGAGACGTCTCAGCATGGCATTGCCTCCGGCTTCGTCAGGGTTCCGCACCTCACTGCGACATGAAGTAAATTATTAGGCCCTGGCTCAGATCGCTGACAAACGAAATGCTCATTGATAGTTTCCGAAGGCCCGGGAAATCCCCCTGATTTCTTTGAACCCTGAGCGACATGATGATACATACCCGGAATCCTTCAGACTACCCCTCCTTTCGAAGAGCAATTTCCCGACGTTCATTTTTCCTCTTTCCTGAAGTCAGCGGTTTTTCTCACAGATGATCGTTGACTCCTTGCGGACCAGTCCGTGTGTTGACTCTTCTCCTCGATTCACCCAATTCTAAGGCCTTTCACTTATCAGATGTCCGCAGTTGGAAGACCTACGAGAGAATCTCTGCTTATGATTTCGCGGAGTCGAGTCGAGTCTCTTTTGAGCAAAATCTCAAAGATGGACTTGCGAACGGAACGATCATGGGAGAACCCCGCCCCTGGCAGGGGAGGGGAGATCATGTCGGAGTCTTAAGCCTCGATCTCGCCCAATTAGTACAGAACATATCATCTCTCTCCTTCCCCTCCCTCTCCGCAATTCGCTGGAAGTCGGAACCTCGCTGCTGGGGGCTGCTGCATGAGTCGCGGTCCATTAGGCGACCTTGAGAATTCGTACCTTCAATTATCCGCGATTCGAGATGCCGGAATGATGTCGATCTCAGCTTCGTGGTAGATTTCGAAGCGGTACGGCGTCGACTCGATTCGGAACACCGAGGAGGGGGAGGTCGCGAAAGCCATCTGCGTGAAGCGCCGGCCGGATCTAAGAAACGGGTCGAATTTCCGATATTGACTATCGATTGAACAGTATTCCTGTTTAGAGAACGCACGTATCCATCGCGCCCGGTGATATTTGAGGCGATCTCTCTGGATCGACGAGCCCAGGAATTTGAAAATGTGCGATTCAAACATTCTGATGAAAAATGCGATGAAAGATGATTTCCTTCAGGAATTTGATCTCCGATTCCGGGGCCGCTTCGATTTCCGGAGAGCTCGTTCATCGAACCATGCTGCCCCCCGGAGCTCGGCTATCTTTTGAATTCCTCGTACCCTCGGGGTACCTCGACTCCGCCGAAACGGGGTCTCGCGGGGCAGATCCGTCGGTATGTAGCCCGCTTAGGCCGGGCGAATATGCACCGGAGTTGCGAGTCCAGAAATCGACTTCAGAGAGACGCCACTAACTTGTATGTGCGGCACTAGCTTGTCCATTTCCGGGAGAATGAATTGTCCTGAATAACAATTGATTGATTTCTATATCCGCTTTTGAAAACCAATTTTTCAAGGAGATCCTCTCGTCATCAAGGAAGCAGAGTTCCTCCTCCAGCGAAACTCGATTCTGGGAATCGTCAAAAGAGTAGGGCTGAGGCCGAAAGCATTAGATGACGATGAGAGGTCTTTCACATCAGCGTTAGCTCTCTAGTAGAGAGAGACAAGACGGAAAGGGGATCTCGAGCATGCTACCGCCAGTTCGATGCGTCAAGGCTCCTACGGAGATATCCGCACAATGAATGTCAATCCGCGTTCTGCGCATGATAACTTCCTCGGCTCACAGGGACCTTGAATTAGTGGTCCGGGTCTGCCTCTTCACCCTAGCCAAATAGCTTCTATTCTCGAACTTTTGGACTCCGGACCTCAACACTTCTGGGACAATGATTGCGTTGTAGCTCTAAGCTTCCTGATTCCATTTGAAGGTCTCAGGAGCATCTTCTCGCCATGAGTGGACCTCCATTTTCGAATAGAATTCGTCTCCCGGTAAAGCCGCTCGAATTAACGCACCGATACTCGCACAATCAGTATTCCAGGATAATGAATAGTCCAGGACATGCAGGTCCGGTAAGGCAAGGGCTCGCAGAACAGGTTCCATGGACTTGCCGATTTGAGGGGTTCCACCCCCGAATTCCCATGGGACTCAAGGGTTCCGACGACGATCTCGCAGGGTTCGACGCCCAAGTCGGTGATTAACCCGCAAGTTTCATGACCTGATTCTTCTTACGCTCATTGTCCCAGACTTGACATTCCGTCGTTTTCCCCGAACATTTTTTCCGCAAGCAAGTCCTTGAAGCATTCATGTGAGCTTCGTCTGGCGTCGCAAAACTATCAACAATCTCTCTAAATGTGAGAGAGCTGTAGGGTTCTGCGAGTCCGAGAAAGAAGTCCGAGAACGATCGCGATGTACATGTCAGAGACGGTCCTCTCCCGACCGCCTTGAGTGATCTTGGCAGCAGGCTCTATGTTTTTTTTGACGCTATAGTTTCCGATATCCTCACGGACTAGTACTAGAATTACCATATCTATCACGTATTTTGAGCGGATTCATCGTGTCGAGCCGGGGGCAACCACAGGTTCCAAAGTGAAGAGGAATACCAGGTACCCACGAACGAGTCCTCGGAGAGACCCCTCATTCACCCCAGGAAGGAGAGGGAACAAGATATTATCCGAGCTGCGTCTCACCGTACCACTCGATTCGCGGGTTGGACTTGTCTTCGGTCAGCAGGTGAGCGTGTACCTGCAGCAGAGCCTGATTCAGTACCTTTCGCCGGCTCTCGAGATCGTGCCTGGCCCTCTCCTCGTACGACCAGCTCGTTGTGGGGTATACAATGACGTCGAGCGCTTCGCATGCGGATTGCGACACGATTATCCCAACCCAACGATGAAGCTCTCTCCACGGTCGAAAAGAATGGCGGAGGGCCGGAGCTTCAAGTCAGACTCCAACTTTTCCTGGCTGGAGATTCGCAGACGTAGTGCGCCATTCCTCTCGGATACGTTGTCGCTTGATATGGAAAGGGGCAACTGCACTCAGGCATCTCGGTTCCGAGGAACCGTCTCGAGTGGGTATTCATCGTAATCCCGGGATCCAATTGCAGCGGCGCAAGTATTGAACAGATCGGTGTCAAACGGCGTCACCAGCAGCCTCGTAGTCGGCTTCTAAGTGGTGCAAACGGAAGGTTGCGTCGTTGACAGGCGGCAATGCCAACTCATCGCTAAACTGCTGACCTTTCTTTCGAGAAGCCGCGGATGACTCCGAAGAGCGTCTGCGATCGAGTCTCGTCGAATCGATGGTGACGCACGACTTCGAAAATCAGTGAATCAGCTCACGCTCACGCGTAACCATATCGAGCTGTGGATTTTTGAGCTGTCACTTTGATTCAGATGTGACACGTGTACCTCTAGATCGTGATGTCCTAATGTGATTCGGCTTCATCCGCTTCCCGGAACCAAGCAGAACGAGCCTCGGTCGATGATTCTCCGCATCTCCCACGTGTCCGGAACACTGAATCCACAGAGGTAATCGGCAGAGGAGAAGAAAATCCGAAAGAATGGAGTTTTGACTTCTGGTGAAAAGACACATGATCGGAATCTTCCGGCTTAGCCCCCGATATAGCCGGCCTTTCCTCATCGGAGATCCCGGTCTCGATGAACACACAAATGTCGAACGAACCAATGCCCTTGCCGCACGCAGCGAGCTGTGGCGCCGACGCGACGTGGGCAGAAGGACTTTCACATCAATCTACGAAGTGACGACGAATCAAAATCGAATAATGAGTCGTCCGCGATCCCGCTGAAATACCGTTCCACCTAGTGCATGTTTCCCAAAGGGGGAAAAGCGCGCAGGCCTCACGAGCAAATTCAGTCCTCCGGAGGGGCTCCGGTGATTGATTTCATTGGAGCTCCCGAACTCCATGTTTGAATTACTTCGTAATCAATGTCTACGAAGCTACAACTGCATTTAATCGCCTCTCCTGGCTCGTCTCAGTCAGTCAATAGTTACAGCTGCCGATCGAATCGGGAACTTCCATTCCGCGAGTCTCAGACCGCCTTAAAATTTTCACTCGCACGAATGAGGCTGGGTCCGGATCGAATGGAAACCTCCCTTTTGGCGGGTGACACTTTGACTAGCTTCTCGGGAGTTGTTCTCTCTGTTGAGCTCTTCATTGGGGCCTGTCCGCGTTCGTCGTTCTCCAACGCTACAAGCGAGATTCCGGATCTCGATTCGCACGCTCATGTCAGAAAGGGAATAAATATCGGATTACGGAGATCTCTTATTGAGTAGATCGCCTGACTGGTGAGACATTCGGGAAGCAACGGCAAAAAGAACCTTCCGAATCGGCTTATGACATCATCCTTAATTACGGTCGTCTGCGGGTCGCTTCCTCGGCTATACAGATCGGGTATTTGCCCCCTCGGAAAAACGTTTCATCCGACAGAGCTCTGAGCTGACCGTATCAGAATGAGAATACTAAATATTGATCAACGGCGAATATTTGAGTCGCGTCCCATGAGTCAAGTAGGTCGATGAGGACTATGATACAATGCCGGAACACAGGACTTCTTACGAAACCTGCATTGCGAGCCTCTTCCACAATCAACGACCGGCAGAGCTCGAAGAATCAAGGAATAAGATCCGAGAGTCAGGCATCCCAGAAATAGAAGCAGGAAGGCTTGGCAGTCCAGGATAGCGACAGGCAACAGGAGTGGAGCAGCTCAATCCCGGCTTTTTGGAAATGTGGACGATTCGACCGACATACACGCACTGACATGATTCACGGTCATCGCGACTTAGATCACCCGCCACCGCCAACTCTCCGAAGCTCATGTCAGTCCCCCTCGCTCTCATCTCAGCGACACATCATTGACCGGTGTCACAATTGTCTAAGACACAGATGGCAGTCATCAAAGATTCGATATGTTAT